ATTCAGTATGTTTTCTATCGATCTGAAAGTTAGCAGTAAATGTTTCAAATGCTAATGCAAATAAATTTTGAAAGCCATTAGTTTTGTAAGTTAGAGTCATGATGGTCAATACTTTTTTGCAACAAGGTGTGTACACAAAAGGAATAAAAGCATTTAGTATCCCCTGTTGTTAGCCCATAAACACTATTTATCTTTATAAATACAGGCAGCCTGCCAGTGAGTGGTTATATGTCTACTTTCAAATTCAAGTGTGGCATTTAGTACAAAAGACACTTATTTACTGTGGGCAAGACTTTGTGTATGCCAGCAGGTTAAGATGAGGCCTGTCTGGCTTGCCACACTTTTGGAGCTTAATCTTGTAATATACAGCCCTGACATAGTTTGGCTACCACATACATTCCTTTTTTTGTTCTCTGCCGTAGAAGCACAAGGAGAGGTGACAAAAAGGAGATTTTCTAGACATAACAATGCAATTAGCAGCATCAGCACCAATAGTTTTCAGCGTAAACCACAAATTCTTCTGTAACCCATCTTTTAATCAACCAAGTGACAAATGTCATATTTTCCAGCTGAAGTGCAAGGGCTGATCACCATGTCACATTATATACGCAGCATTACCACTGTGCTTGATCTTTTAGTGTTTCAAAGGGGGGAAAAACCCAGGCGTCTTTCCAAAGGAATATAATAGCTGGATGGTAAAAGTCTTTTAAAACTGTGGTGCTGTGGAGCTTTGCATGTAATGTAGGTGAAGCATCAATGATCAAGGCATCAAATGGTCCTTTTTTCATTTTTTTTTTTAAAAAGCCTGTTGAACTTTTTTTGTCTGTCACAATGCCAGGCTTGTTCACACAGTTCTTTGACTGGTTGAATTGCCCTAAGCCCCATTGTTATGACTTATTCATCAGTCATGCTTTTAAGGTATTCATTAAAGAACACCATACAGAATGCAAAAAGCACTCCTTAGGACAAAAGTGCTGATTGCAATGGGTTAGAGAGCCCAATTCCATGCCCAGGTCCTGTCCACAAATCAATTCAACCCTAATTTTTCCTTAATTAGATGCTGCACCTTTACAGTTACCTGTAATTACAATGTATAGGCTTAAAAGATACATACACAGCACGGTGATGCTTATTAACAGCTATAAATGGCTACGCCCTGACTGCCCATAATGGGCAGATGCTTCATATCCTTGAAGACTACGCAGTAGTTTTGTGTAATGTGGGGTGCCGTCAGCCATATTTGGGAACACTGTACCTTGTATCTGACATTAGGGGTTTAGATACTCCTGTCTTTAAGGTGTTTGGGAAACACAGGTGGCAATTCATGACCTTCATTGTCCATGCACTTATTTCAATCAAACTGAAAGACTGTATGAACACAAGTTTTCCTCTAAAAAGAGAAAATTCAGTCACATAGAGCATAACGCACATCCATTCCAAATGCCACTTTGATGGAAAGTTGTACAATCTTTCCATCTCCGATGGAAAGTTGTACAATCTCATTATCTACGTATCACCTCTCAGAGATTTCAGGACACAGAATATATATAGTTGGAGAAGCAGAAAAATTGATTAGGAAAAAAAATATTAACAAAAATGGGGCCTTTATCTGTTATTTCAAAAGTTACACTTTGTTAAAAACTAAATGCTAAAACATTATGACTCAAGTACTGGGGTTTTATCTCCTGATAAGCCAGACTTCATTATGTCGATTCATCAATTTAAATGGACTGTCATAGCCAGCAGTATAGTAAACCCTTTCTTGAAAAGTTTTGCCATCCCGCTTCAAACTTTCAACAAGTGCCAGTATTTCGTCTTGGTTCTTTTTGGCATTGGTAAATCCTCCAAAGGATCTGTTGAAAATAACAACACATTAAAGTTCTGCTTATGCTTAGCAAAGGGTGCTGCCTAACTAGCCTGAGGCTACCTCTGTGAAAAGCACAATCTAGACAGGTCATGCCAAAATTGGTACTCAAAACTATTGTTAGCTGAAAAGTCCCTTAAATATTAACTTTAATGGGCTTAAAAGCATTTCTAATTAATTGCCTATAGGCTTAGATTTATTCATGTTTTAATTAATCTGTGTTATTCAACGGGATATTCCATTATACATAAGAATTATTTCACTGTGCACAGGCATTCAGAGTGGAATACAGTGGCTGCATGCACAGATACTGCTTTATAAAGATCTGGTGTACACATTATGGGTCTATGAAAGCTACTTCTGTGTGACACCAACTCTGCCATCACCCAAAGCCAAGAACATCAGCGGTGGCAGGGAGATGCAGATGCTCCAAATGATGTACACATGATAACCCACTATACAATCTAGTTCTTGTTGGTATATCTGTAAGAAAACTTGGTAAGCAAATGGGACCATGGCTGCATTTGGATTTACAATGCAATCCTATGCAGAGTGATTCCAGTCTAAACCCAGACTAGAGTAATTCTGCATTACTAGTGGCCCCAGAGACTGTCGAGATGGATTGTGGAAGCGATCAAGCTTTGCTACGCTTTGGCTAAGAGACCTCTTCCAGGTCAGCTTCGCGCCCATTCTACAAGGGCGGTGGCGGCGTCCACAGCTTTCCTGAGAGGTACGCCGTTGGAGGACATCTGCAGCGCTGCGACTTGGGCTACTCCGCTCACCTTCGTGAAGCACTATGCCCTTGATGTCTGGTCTACTCGTCGTGTGGATTCATCAATTTAAATGGACTGTCATAGCCAGCAGTATAGTAAACCCTTTCTTGAAAAGTTTTGCCATCCCGCTTCAAACTTTCAACAAGTGCCAGTATTTCGTCTTGGTTCTTTTTGGCATTGGTAAATCCTCCAAAGGATCTGTTGAAAATAACAACACATTAAAGTTCTGCTTATGCTTAGCAAAGGGTGCTGCCTAACTAGCCTGAGGCTACCTCTGTGAAAAGCACAATCTAGACAGGTCATGCCAAAATTGGTACTCAAAACTATTGTTAGCTGAAAAGTCCCTTAAATATTAACTTTAATGTGCTTAAAAGCATTTCTAATTAATTGCCTATAGGCTTAGATTTATTCATGTTTTAATTAATCTGTGTTATTCAACGGGATATTCCATTATACATAAGAATTATTTCACTGTGCACAGGCATTCAGAGTGGAATACAGTGGCTGCATGCACAGATACTGCTTTATAAAGATCTGGTGTACACATTATGGGTCTATGAAAGCTACTTCTGTGTGACACCAACTCTGCCATCACCCAAAGCCAAGAACATCAGCGGTGGCAGGGAGATGCAGATGCTCCAAATGATGTACACATGATAACCCACTATACAATCTAGTTCTTGTTGGTATATCTGTAAGAAAACTTGGTAAGCAAATGGGACCATGGCTGCATTTGGATTTACCATGCAATCCTATGCAGAGTGATTCCAGTCTAAACCCAGACTAGAGTAATTCTGCATTACTAGTGGCACCATTTGTATGTGAATCAGCTGTATACACAGTTTGAGTCCAGTGGCACCTTTTTTGATCAACAAAGTTTTATTCTGTGTATAAGTTTCATGTACATGCACATTTCTTCAGATACCACACGAAAGCTTATATCCAGAATTAAACTTTGTTGATCTTAAAGGTGCCGCTGGACTCAAACTTTGCTCTATTGCTTCAGACCAACATGGCTACCCACCTGAAGTTGTATATGCAGCTACTATAATTTGCACAACCATGGTTCAAAAAAACACTGCCATTGTTGTGTAAATTGGGTCAATATAGAACCCCCTCTGTGGAGATACAGACATAAAACGAAATGCCACAGTTCTCCCAGTGAGTGCTGCCTCCCCAAAAGCATAGCCTTGCACACTTATGGACACTTGGCTTTGGTGCCTAACATAAGCCCGTCTGCCATGCTGCAGCCTCAGCCTAAAGCTGTTTCATGAGTTTTTTTGTGTTGGGAAACCCTAATGAGACTGGTTTTAGGGAAGATGAGAAGCAGCAGAAAGTTGTGAATGTATACTTCTTGTATTAGGAAAGATTTTCCTCAATATAATAGGTGCAGAGCAGTTGAAGTTACACAATGGAATGTGCAGTAGGACCTGAAGCAAATGCCTCAGATCAGTGAAAAATGTGGGCACGGGGTGAGGGAAATGTCTGCCCTTTTTTCCTACTACCTAAACTCCTAACGCATTTTTTAAACTTCTCATTTTAGCTATCTGTGGAGGACCTCCCGATATTCCGATTGAAAATACATTGTACAATATACTTTAATAGCCACAAGGTGGCAGCCAACTCAATATCTTTGGTGACAGACTCACCATTACTAAAGCAGCTGTGTGTTATTTTTCCATGCAGCTTCATTTGTTTTAACACAAAGCAGCTACCACTAATATTCAAAACACAGTGGGGCTGCTATGTATTAAAAACAATCTAAAAACAGAGGAAAGTCATTAACAACCGTAGTGGGATATCTATTTTGATCCTTCTGTACACAATTACTGAATTAAAGATGCAACATAATCTGCATTTTGCAGACACACGTAGAATAGCACTTACCTGACAAACACAGTAATTGATGGCCTGTTTTCAATGAAGACATCAGCCTCTGAAGGCTTAGGTGGATTTGCCTGGTGTTTTGATGGCAAGTAAAAAGAAACAGTTGTGATGGATTCACAGAATGGACCAGCACCGGGCTCAACATAGCATGTGACTGGAGCAGTCATATCTATCTTCATCCCTGAAAGAGGCAAGGTGTTGTTATCAGCCATACTGGTGCAGCACACACCACATTAGTGCAAAATAAACTCCAAAGTTGAAAAGCAGGAGTGGACAACAAATGGCTGCCAAGGGAGATCTGACCCACCCAGACTAAAGACACACAACATTTTTGGGGGGAAATTCTAGAGCTGCCCACCCCACGTTCAGTGAAAATGCTCCTGTTCCTGGTGCCGAATGACTGGCTTCTGGGGTTGCCAACTTCCAGGTGGTAGATGGAGATCTCCCACTATTACAACTGATCCACAGAGATCAATTCACCTGGAGAAAATGGCCACTTTGAAAGTTGGACTCTATGGCATTAGCCCCCCCACCCAAACCCTGCCCTCCTGAGGCTCCACTCCCAAAATCTCCGGTATTTCCCAACCAGAAGCTGGCAACTCTACTAGCTTCTTGTGTTACCAACCTTTCCTATTTGCCCCAGACAGAGCCTTGGATTTTTAAAAAAAGGAAGGACACTGGGCAAGACTGTCACAACTGAACCAGAGTGTACTAATATGTACATCTGTCAATTGTGCAGTCAAGTTTTTATCACCACTTGAAAATCCAGTGAGCTCAATATTCAGATTATAGTTGTTTTCAACCTTGGGTTTCTTCCCCAGAAAAACTGGTTTTTAGTAAGTTGCCAATGCCATACGACACCACAGGAGAGTGCATGGGCCAGTGGAGAATCTTTAACTGACCAGATATGACCATGGACATATCACAGCAAGAATTGCCATAACAAGTAATCCCTTTCCATTTATATAACAACGGGGACTGCAAGTGTTTAAAAGCATTTTTTTCTTATTACAAGTATTATCTGAAGTAGTCATTCATGTACAAATTCTCCTTCTGATGTGTCCATTCCCCTTCAGAGTCCAGGCTTTTCAGACGGCCTGCTTCCTACCAGCAAGCCTAATGACTGACCTGACCCGAGAGATGGGGTTGCCAACTCTAGGCTGGAAAATTCCTGGAGATTTTAGAGGTGGTGTTAGGGTGTGTGGTGTTTGAGGAGGGGAGGGTCTTCAGCAGTGTCTAATATCATAATGTTCACCTCCAAAGTGACCATTTTTTCCCCAGGGGAAGTGATCTCTATTGAGATCAGTTGTTGTTCCAGGAGATCTCCAAGTACCACTTGGAGGCTGGCAACCCTACCTAGTGGATTTTGACACAGTTTCCCCTTCTTGAGGAATGAATCAGTTCAAGCTTTCAAGGCTGGAGACTAGGAAAGGGGCTGCAGTTTCATTCAAGTGAACCAGGGGTCTGTTGTATACCCTACACATTCCCCTGCCATATAAACCCCACTGGCCTCAGGAATTCTCTTTCTTCACATTGACAGCTTGTAATTTAACATTATATGAAAAAGATTTCTGCCAATGTAGGAAAAGCTGGCAACCCTAGTCAGGACTGGCCCCCATGAGTTCCCCACAAAGGCTTGGAAAAGGGCATCCTGCCTTTGCCTTTTTACTGACAGAACCAAGCTTGGTTGCCTAGCAACAGTCACTGAGGGAAAAGTTAGTTCCACAGGAACCAAGGAGGAGAAGTGTCTTCATCAGGAGAGACAGCCATTTTGGTAGTTTATTCTGTGAGAGAAGAGTGTCCAGTCTGGCAGTGGGTGGGGGAGAGGAGCGGACCCAGCACCCAGCCAATGGTACTCGAATACTTTTGAGTAGCAGTTGATGGACCAATGGCTGATGGAGCGCATAGCACAGCCAATGGGAGAGCTGGAAATGGCCAACACGTTGGGACAATTAAGGCCCTGGTCACACGGGCTGGATATTTCGGGGAGAGGCGTGGCTATTTGCCCTGGTGCAGTTTGATCCAAGATTAGGCGATTAGACGCGCCGGCGGCACACCACGGGTTCATCCCTCCGCGCCAGCGGGTAAACAAGGGTGGCGATCACACAACGATCCTGCAGCGCGACAAAGAAGCGGCACGGCGCAATCACACCAGCAATGGTTAGGCGCCGCTGCCATGACAAACGGGGTCATTTTTTTAAAGCCGAAACGGCACTTTCGCTTTCCTCTTTGTGCGCATGTGCCATTGGGTGCTTGTGTACATCTTGTGGAGACTTGGGGGGGAAACCCGTTTGCGAAGGGACATGGGCGGGTGCCAGATGCCACCACCGGAAACGCGATCAGACGCCAGCCCTTGCCCCGCGGTTTCCGGAAACTAATACCTCGGAGGTACTAGTTTTTAACTCCGCATCTTTGGCGGGAAGCCTCGGGTTCGGCACGGGAGCTCTACGCTTCCCAGATGTTGCGTTGTGATCACGCCCGGAAAATCCGCCTATCTTCCGTCTCTGTAGCGTGGCTAATGCTCCGTGTGACCGCATCCTCTATATATATAGGATTTTAGCCAAAAACGTTTGATTTATTTTCAACCAGTGGTTCTGGTCCGACCTTCTGGGGAAACAGGCAACATCCTCTATATGACAGCCCTTCAAGTAGTTGAAGATGGCTACCATATCACCTCTCAGTCATCTCCTCTCTGAGCTAAATATATGCAGCTCCTTTAGCCTCTCCTCATAGGACTTGGTCTTTGGACCTCTCACCATCTTCGTTGCCCTCCTCTGGACACGTTAAAGCTTGTCTACATCCTTTTTAAACTGTGGTGCCCAAAACTGAGCACAATACTCTAGGTGAGGTCTGACTAGAGCAGAGTAAAACGATACCATCACTTTGCGTGATCTGGACAATATACTTCTGTTGATACAGCCCATGATTTCTTCTTATACAAGGTAATGCATTTTGGAACAGCAATAACAATGGAGCACACACTACAGAAGTGGACAGGTAATTAGAGGGTTAATTCTGTTGTAAAATTATTCAATACATAGTTACCTAGTAGGGTTGCCAGCTCTGGGTTGGTAAGTACCTGGAGATTTGGAGGGTGGAGCCTGAGGAGGGTGGGGTTTGGGGAGGGACTTCATCATTGGGGTATAATGCCATAGAGGCCACCTTCCACAGCAGCCATTTTCTCCAGGTGAACTGATCCATATCACCTGGAGATCAATTGTAATAGTGGGAGAGTTCCAGCCACCACCTGGAGGTTGGTAACCCCATTACCTAGTCACTCACTGGGGCTTAGAAGTTTCTTCTCGTATTTTGTTTTGCTTGTTTCTTCCCTTTGATGTCTGCTCAATCTGCTGCAGATCAAGAGAGAAGTCTGCACTGTACCAGTCTAGTTACCTGTTCTGTGTGCTTCAAAGTTAAGTAAAGGTTTTACTTCTTGAAAGAAACTTCAGCCTGGAGTTATTTGCAAAACTGTCTTGTTTATCAATACAAACAGACAACAGTTAATAATTTACAATTAAAATGATCAACCAGTGCTTAATCTGTTTAATAAACTATTTATTCATCAAATCAGTGACAGAATTCTGCCAGGGTAATCAGGGATGAAATATGTGCCAGCCAGTATTAAGGGCTGTTACATATCCTAGAAACTAAGGCCAAATCTGAACCTTGATCATTTGTATTAGGACCTGAGATGGTACACCTTACACCTAGTTCACTCCAGTGAACCAGGTGTAAGGTGTACCATCTCAGGTCCTAATACAAATGATCAAGGTTCAGATTTGGCCTTTAGTTTCTATTGTGTAATACATTTCACAATATGTAAAACTTCCTTACACAACAGCCTATTTGCATTTTTAAAAATCTGTGTCATCCTAGGCCACGTGACAAAGTACTCTAAAAGTTCCCCAGTAGGAATTTTAAAGCTCTTCTAGGCACAAAAGGTTAGTATTGCAGTTTTCTGCACTGTGACCTATTACAAGAGATGGTAATTTAAGCAAGATGTTCTCTCATACCCAACAGAATGTATCACATGTTGAACTGTAGAATGACAGAAGGAGGAAGGGAGGACTAAAGGGTAGATTCTTAAAATCTCCAGCACAGGCCCTGCATAGGGTGAGCACTCACTTCAGAGTTCTCTCAGGATGGATATGTAAAACTTCCTTACACAACAGCCTATTTGCATTTTTAAAAATCTGTGTCATCCTAGGCCACGTGACAAAGTACTCTAAAAGTTCCCCAGTAGGAATTTTAAAGCTCTTCTAGGCACAAAAGGTTAGTATTGCAGTTTTCTGCACTGAGATGGTAATTTAAGCAAGAAGTTTTCTCATACCCAACAGAATGCATCACATGTTGAACTGTAGAATGGCAGAACAAGGAAGGGAGGACTACAGGGTAGATTCTTAAAATCTCCAGCACAGGCCCTGCATAGGGTGAGCACTCCCTTCAGAGGTCTCTCAGGATGGTGCTTCCTTTACAAAAGTTCCTCCCTGTGTTTCTTTTTTGGCAAATTTAACAAAAACCCACTTTTTTATACTGGTCATCTGAGTAACTGAATTTTGCTCTTCTTTGTTATGCTGGTACTTCTTCTGCCATGTCTTTATGCTGATGTTTGACTGTGTCCTGATTAGGGTTTATAGTAAACACTGGTAGATTTAAATTAAGATTTTCAAGATGTCTTGGAGACATTCAAAAGGCGCAGAGCAAGCATTTTAAATCAATAAGGAATGGTCAGATAGATACAGAGATACACCAACTGAAAACGTTAACATTCTCCCCTCTGCCATTCCCCTCCCCCACAAATGCCACCAGGAATCTAAAAATGTCCAAGGACAGGCCAGTCTCAGCAGAGGAGAGGGTCTGAGGACAATATTCCCATTGTCATCCCCACTGAAACCACTGCCAGCAATGGAGGAAAGGCTAGCCCCAATACTTCTATCTGGTAGTGATGCATCTTTGATTTTTGTTTTTTGTCAGCTATCTTGAGCATATTAATGGTAATGTAGGCTATGAATTTAATAAATGAATAGTGAAACAGTTATTCCACTGGCTATAACAGCTTAGCAGTGATTAAAGGGAGGACATCAGAATGGCCTATTAGTCTGCAGGCACCAGAGCTCATCTCTGGAGTTGGGTGGCTTCTGAATCTCCAAAAGCAGTGGATCCCTGTGCCCAGCTGTCTCCCCTCTGTACAAAGCAGGGAAACAACAGTGATGGATTCCCAGCTGCCACATCACTGATGCTGGGAAATCAAACAGCAGCCAGTCCCCTTTGCCATGAAGCACTATACTTTCACACTCAGGTACTCAGGAGGACAATGTCTACCCAACCAGGGGAGCATGGAACTTGTTATCCACAAGGTTACACATTACCTGTATTACAGAGCAAATTAGATGTGAGGATTGTACAACTGATACTGGATCGTATTAAAAATTAGAAAAGAAACTGACATTGCTCAGAAGTATGTATAATGATATTTGGATATATCAGAAGCACATATGATTGTGGTTTAATTCCTGAAGCAAGGAAACATTGTAAATTTAAAAAGCACAGCAAAACATGTACCTTTTTCATTCCTGCCCTTAATATAGTTAAAGAGCTTTGTGAAACCAGTATTGATAGCTGCATTCCAATCCATTGTTTTAACAGATGTGCAAACCCATTTGGCTGCTTCATACTGTCGAATTTCATAATCCGAAGCCTTCACACACATAGGAGACAGATCAAGAATATTGTCAACTGATACTTTTATATAGTAACTCTGTACACGTATTAAGAAACCCTTTTAAAGGAGTCAGCAAGTAGAATAATAAAGTGCATACCATCCTATACAAAGGAAAACCCTGTTCACATGAAGTTAATACAAACCGATTCTGTTTTTACACTTCCACCAATTCCAACCCAGTAACTTTTCTCAACACTTGATCCTACACATACTCAGAAATAAAAGCTTAGTGCTGAACAGGACATGACAGCTACACAACAACAGTCTCCTGATTTTTGATTTTATTGTTTATTTTGTCTACTATAGTTAGTTTGTGGGGAGAAATGGCAATGGGAGCTGCTAATAATTTCCCTGTTCAAAATACTTTCACAAGCTTCTTTTCCACAAGGGGCTGCACAAAAGAGAAAGTTCCCCTTCTACATGAATGCAAAGTAGTTTGGAGATGATTTTCCATAGGGAATACAGAGGGGAAAGGGTTAAAGCCCCCCACATACAACACTTGCTCCTAATTGCAGCAGTCCATGGCTATTTTTAATTAAAATAAACTTGTGTAATATTTGGTATGACCTTTAGTCCTAGTGTTGCCAACTTTTAAACTGGTCCCTCTAGCTGTCCCTTTAATATAATTTGATCTGCAGGAATTACCATGAAAATCTTCAACTGTCCATTTCTGCACATTAAACCGCTATTAAAAAGACAGGACATCATTCCTGGCCAGCTGGAACTCTAATTTATTCCCAAGTAAGTGTTCATAAGACTGAAGCTCAAATGCAGTGATACTGTACTAGGAGATTCTCCGCTTTTGGACAGAATTTAAAGATTTGGCTGGTTATATCATTCTATATCCAAGATCTAGCCTTCCTCTTTGTACACTTTTATTTTTTTTCTCAGTTCCCAAGTCCACCAGGCTCTAAAGCTGAAAGAGCTATTGATAAGTAGCCTTTAAAAATATCTCTCTAAATGAGCTCAAAATCAAAGTTTGTTATGTTTAGCTATGATGGATACATCTTATTTCCCCAATTGTCTGGTGATAGTTGTAATCCCTTCCAGGAACAGAAAAATCAGAAACTACTTTCACTATGTTTACTATCTAAAACTTTAAAAATATTTTAAAACTTATTGTTAATGATAGCACATGGATGTATATAGTTTGAGGAAGATGCATTTCAAATGTTTTAAGGGATTTTTAAACATGCTGTTATATTTTCCCAAAATATTCACAGTATAGTGCTAAATAATGGAGTACTTAAATTGCAGGTTCTTACATATTGTACTACTTTAGATGAAATGTCTTCAAATGCATATTTAAACTGATTTAAACAGGCATCTGAAGATAATTTTTCCAAAATAATAACAAGGCACATCTACATTAGGAAATGGATGGATAGACAGACAGACAGACATCTCCTAATGTAGTTGTGCCTTAATCTCACCTTTGAAATCCATACTTTCAAGTCATTAAATTTACATCTCAATCCTAAACATATTTATAGTTCCACTAAATGTAATGGAATTCACTCCTAGCTAATGAGATTATGCAGTCAGCCCTCTGCATTTGTCAATACACACATAAGAGGGAAAATAGCAGTATGCAGCCTCCAGTGATATCCTTATCACTCTGAAAAGGATGCTTTGTAGAATCTGTTGGGAATAATGTGCACTGTTCCTTTAACACTATCTTGCCTGAGGTACTTGCAACTATTTCTTAAATGTTCATACCTGTCTAGTCTATCTCTGCTCTGGCACTTGTGGAGCAAACCTTATGGACGGGACCACACCGTTTCCATGTGGCATTTGCATCAAGGAAGGGCTCATGTGCTCCAAGGTTCTAACCACTGCCCCTATAACCTGATTCCAGAGGGAACTTTGCACTTTATAATGAGAGGAGTTCTTTGAATCCTGTACAGTGCTCTTCCATACCACTGAAGAAATTAATTCCTACAGGTATAGGTTTAGAGCAAGAGTGCCTTTGAGAAACATACTCACTGCTCACCTGATTTGGCAACGCTGTCCATTTGGGCATCTCCAGCCCAGTAGAAAAGAAGACTTGTTTTATAGCCTTCAGCATCCTGGACAAAAAAAGGGAACAAAATTATATCTGCTCTTCCACACACTGGAATGCAGCTGCAGGTGAGTTTATCTGCTCCCTGAAGTTTGGTACTTTTTTAACACAAGCTAAGCTCCTGTTTCCAATATGGAAAAAGCAACTTTGGGGAAAGCCGCACCTTTGTTTTCCGCGTGGTATATGGCAGATAAAGGCAAATGTTCTCTCCGTTGTTTAAAAATGCGACCCCGTCTCCTTATCGGCCCGTTCCCACCCCTTGCCTCGGCTAAAGCCCACAAACTACGCACGGACATTCACCTTCTGCTTGCCTCTTGGTACTTTTTTAACACAAGCTAAGCTCCTGTTTCCAATATGGAAAAAGCAACTTTGGGGAAAGCCGCACCTTTGTTTTCCGCGTGGTATATGGCAGATAAAGGCAAATGTTCTCTCCGTTGTTTAAAAATGCGACCCCGTCTCCTTATCGGAACTGTGAAATCTCGGCCCGTCCCCACCCCTTGCCTTGGCTAAAGCCCACAAACTACGCACAGACATTCACCTTCTGCTTGCCTCCTGCCTGGTTTCGCCGTCCGACGCAAGGGTCTCCTTTTCCGCCTAGCCCAAGAACTTGTACTAAGAACACTGCCTTGTTTCACAACATTTCACGCTATGCCCTCCGTAGAGCGGGGTATGTTGGGGGAGGGGGGAACAACCCTCCTCCCACCGTCGAAATGTTAGGGACTCTGACGGCACTTGGGGCCATTTGGCCTTTCTCAGAAGAGTCAGCCTACAGGACAGGAGGCCTTGCGATTGGCTGCAAGGAAGTTATAAAAGCTTCCAGCGGCGGCGCACGTGGGGTGATTGGAGAGGCGGCCCGAGACGGTCTGTTTTGCTCGTGGTGGGTCGGGCGTGTCTGTGTGTATGGGCGGGCGCTCTGGCACTCTTTCGCCCGGCCCTGGTGCTTGGTGTCAGATGCCGCTTGTTGTGCTGGCACAGCGTCTCTGGGGAATGAAAGAGTGAGCTCATAGCACATTGTCATATCCCGGGAGGGGGCGGGGGAGAGAGATGAAAAGGGCTCTTTGAAACAGAAGGAATTAGCATGTCTCTCTCCTCTGCACTCCTACACCATTGCACTGCTTTGTGAGGAAAACAGAATACCCTTAAGTGGAGCAGCTATAAGCTGTAGTACTATAGAATGTATGGGGGCGTTGTGATTTACTTCAGGCAGTAATGCTTCTCTATTTTAAGGCAAACTGTGTAAGCAGAAGGCAGGTTTCTCAAGTAGCTCTCAAAGCAAGTCAGAGTGCAGCGAAGACATTGCCACTGAAGCAGCTATTGCTAAAATTTATAGATTGTTGTATGCTTTCACTGTATTTTGGCCACAATGAGATCAAAACTGATGTGTATTGTAGGTATCTTGTGGATTGTAAGCCCCGCCCCCCAAATTCCTCCTAAACTAGCATCCTTAGTGCTGCTTCATACAGGTGGCAAGGCAACCTGTTATGTATGGGGTTATCTGGTTTCTATGTAAAGCGTGAGCTTCGGTCACAAGCCCAATAGGCTGTCAGCATTCTAACCGAACCAACCGGATTGGTCACTGTTGCTAACAGACCAATCTGGATAGACTCTGACTTTCAGCGGGAACAATTCCCATTGGACCCAAGCACTCATCTTTGATTGGTTGTTATTGTTCCAGGGAGTGTGGTTTTCCTGGTTCAGACTGTATATAGTTGGGTCGTTCTCCCTCTGAGGTGGAGGACATCTTGTGGGTGATTCCGATCCATCCCTCCCTTAGAGAGGCAGGACTAATTTCAGTTACTTCCTGTTTCCTGTAGTGGGAGTCACCCTAGGATCAGTTCTTTTCCTGCCTCAGAAGGGAGGGCAGCTAGGTGTAGGCTCTGCCTAACCCTATCTTTTGAAATTAACTTACTTTCACTTTCTCCTTCCATCTTTGCTGTTCCCACTCTCTGAAGAAACGTAAGAAAAATAAGAACATAAGAGACGCCAATGTTGGATCAGGCCAAAGGCCCATCCAGTCCAACACTCCGTGTCACACAGTGGCCAGAAATACCAGGTGCCATCAGGAGGTCCACCAGTGGGGCCAGGACATTAGAAGCCCTCCCACTGTTGACCCCCCCCCAAGCACCAAGAAGACAGAGCGTCACTTGCCAAGGAGCCTTTATCTATACCTTGTGGCTAATAGCCACTGATGGACCTCTGCTCCATATGCTTATCTAATTCCCTTTTGAAGCCGTCCATGCTTGTAGCCGCCACCACTTCCTGTGACAGTGAATTCCATGTGTTAATCACTCTTTGGGTGAAGAAGTACTTCCTTTTATCCGTTCTAACCCAACCGCTCAGCAATTTCATTGAGTGCCCACGAGTCCTTGTATTGTGAGAAAGGGAGAAAAGTACCTCTTTCTCTACCTGCTCTATCCCATGCGTAAACTTACAAACCTCAATCATGTCTCCCCTCAGTCGTCATTTCTCCAAGCTAAAGAGCCCTAACCTTTCCTCATAGGGAAAGTGTTCCAACCCTTTTATCATTCGAGTTGCCCTTTTCTGCCCTTTTCCCAAAGCTATAATATCCTTTTAAAGGTGTGGTGACCAGAACTGCACACAGTATTCCAAATGAGGTCGCACCATTGATTTATATAGGGGCATTATGATATTGGCTGGTCTGTTTTCAATACCCCTCCTAATAATCCCCAGCATAGCATTGGCCTTTTTTATTGCAGTCACACACTGTGTCGACATTTTTAGTGAGTTATCTACTACAACTCCAAGATCTCTCTCCTGATCAGTTTCTGTCAGTTCAGATACATAAAAGGACTTGTCCTTTTATCCCATAATTTTTGAGCTTGCTTAGGAGCCTTTGATGAGGAACTTTATCAAAAGCTTTCTGGAAGTCAAGGTAAACAATATCTATTGGATCCCCCTTGTCCACATGTTTGTTCACCCCCTCAAAGAACACTAACAGGTTAGTGAGACAAGATCTTCCCTTACAGAACCCATGCTGAGTCTGCCTCAATAGGTTTTGTTCATCTATGTGCCTACTAATTCATTCCTTAATAATGGTTTCCACCAATTTACCCGGTATCGACGTCAGACTGACTGGCCTGTAATTTCCCGGATCTCCTCTGGAGCCCTTTTTAAAGATGGGAGTGACATTTGCTACCTTCCAGTCCTCAGGAATGGAGGCTGATTTTAAGGAAAGATTACATATTTTTGTCAGGAGATCCACAAGTTCACATCTGAGTTCTTTCAGAACTCTCGGATGTATGCCATCCGGGCCTGGTGATTTATCAGTTTTTAAGTTGTCTATCAGTCGTAGGACCTCCTCTCTCATCACCTCAATCTGACTCAGGTCTTTCAACACCCCTCCCGAACTCAGCGGTTCTGGAGTGGGCAAGCACTTCTCATCTTCCACAGTGAAGACGGAGGCAAAAAATGCATTTAGCTTCTCAGCCATTTCCCTATCGTCCTTCAGTACTCCTTTTACCCCTTGGTCATCCAAGGGCCCCACTGCCTCCCTGGCTGGGTTCCTGCTTCTAATGTATTTGAAGAAAGTTCTCTTGTTGGTTTTTACGTTTTTTGCTATGTATTCCTCCTATTCCCTTTTTGCCTGCCTGACCTCAGACTTGCATTTTATTTGCCATAGCCTGTGTTCCATTTATCAGCCTCACTGTGACTAGCTTTCCACCGCTTAAAGGAATCCTTTTTACCTTTTACAACTTCCACAAGATGTCCTCCAAGCCTCAGAGGAGAAGGACCCTTCACGGTGAGTAACCAATCGTCGTTTTGTGTGTCTGTCTTCTGAGCTAATAAAGAAATCCCTTGTTGAAACGCTGTCTCGATCTCAGTACATAATACAGCCCAAGTTGTGTTCCATTACTTTCCATCCCACAACAAAATAGATAGTAAGGGATGCAAGGAGGGTGGTTTAACCTAGGCCTGCCTGAATTTCGAGGGGAGGAGGCTCCATGTTAATTTGTGGACATTTGATAAACTGCAGCTTGTTTATATGTGCATCATGTGTCATCTTTTTCTCTCTTTCTTGGCTAGGAGCGTTAGAAATTTGGAATTTGCCCAGGCCTATCAACTTCTGAGAAGGCTCGAAGGTGAGGCATGCAAAACATCTCCCAACATTCAGCTCACCTGGATCTGCAAGCCTCGGGTGCACAGTTTCTCTGTGGTTGACCGCTGCCATTTAGGACTGTTAAACCACACTTTACAGTGCTCATTGTGGTGAAACCAAATGGTGTGGTGGCAGTGGTACTGAGTTTGCAGGCTCTGAGGACTATTCTGCTTAAAGTCTTGGAGATCCATGCAAATTGAAAATGTTTACTGCGGGGTTGGGAACATGCCGGTTGCATTGCATTTGTGATATTAAGGAATTACCGACTGGTAAACTTTTTCTGCTCAGGACCCACAGGAGTAAAGTGGGAGAAAATGTAAACAATTTTTTAAAAACCCTATAAATGGGCACAGAAATGAAATGGACTATCGGTTGGATCCAGTGGAAGAGTTTTCAATCAACAGAATGGGATTTTCTCACATATACCCCCCTTTGTTGCTATGTTCCAAAGAGTTCGCCTAAATGCAGTTCCTGGGAAACAAGGAGATTCTATAGTAGAAGAAGGGCTTCAGCAAAAATCCTCCTGCTTCTGTTAGTGGACATCTACACCTAGATCCAACCAAATATTAACAAAGAGGAAATTAAAAAAAAATTATATCACTTACATCCCAGTCAACAAGAAAAAAAATTAATTTCATGCCGTGTTTGCAGACATTCTTAGCAGACAAACATGAAAAGGAGTTAAGTGGATAAGAAGACCATGACATATTAAGCAATTATTGATCATCTGCTTTTCAAAATGAAGGCCCAGACTTAAATGAAAGTCAGATTTAAGGGGAACTAGTCAACGCTGAGATTATGTCTAGAGTGTGCGGGTATTTTTTATATAAAGTGGTTCAATGCTTTTCAAAACGTAGTTGCTGCATGGCACACGTTTTAAGTATTAAATAAGCTAAGCCTATGCAGCCGCTTTGACAAATATGTTCAGAAGGTCAGACAGCTTTCTTTATGATGTGCTAGTTCTGTATGTGCAATGAACCTTTTTATCTGAAGGAGCTTTTAATAACGTAAGCCTACATCTTAAGTTGTACAGTTTAAAAATATATTCAGATGGGTAGCCATGTTGGTCTGGAGCAACAGAACAAAGTCCAGTGGTGCCTTTAAGACCAAAAAAGTTTTATTCAGGGTATAATCTTTTGTAATTATACACATAATTCAACCCAGAAGTGTGCATGCACACAGAATTAAAACAGAATTAGCCTTTGTTGGTCTTAAAGGTGCCACTGGGATCAAAGTTCAAAAGTATGTTGACCTGTTACTTGGATAACGAGGCCAGAGTTTTTGACACATTTGTTATCTTGTAAAGTAGTTGGTAATGAAATAATTGGAATTTACTTGAAACTATTAGTAGGAAGTAACAAACTGTTTTAGTCTGATGAACTCACTATACAGTATTAATACTTTAGCTTTTGTATTGCTTTTTGTTTATCTGACATAAAAGTGAATTAAATAAACAGATATCTGGAGATTGGGATACTAAGAGGTGGGGAAGCAAGTTCATAAGAGGCTTATTTCTGGCCTGGACTTGTTCTCTATTATTACTTTTCATCCCTGATTTTATCCTTCTGTTTAGCTCCATTCAAGTTAGGGAGCTCTGGTGTACTGGATAATGAGAGCTTTACAGTATGGGGGCATCTCACATCTTTCTCTTCCATCCCCATAGAAAAGTTTGGTATT